AGTGGTTTAGTCACAAATTTATGAGCTTTGACTGACAGTTCAGCGGTAATTACCTATTTAATTGATAAAATGATTTAGACTTTCACGGCTGAAGTTTTCAGTGTCATTGCTTTTCGAGTTTGAAAGCCGTGGATTTTTGGAATTTCTTCCTGACGTTTCGCTGGCGTGAGCGGATAACTTCTTCAGAGGTTTAACCATCATGGCTTGCTGTCCGATGACTACCTTTTAGGCTTCGTAAAGCGTATTTATGCCTTGTCAGGTAATCAGTTGTATTTGTACCTGTATTTTACCTGTATTTTTACCTGCACTTGTACCTGTACTCGTACCTACACTTGAACCTGGAACATTAACAATCTTCCTGTTCCAGGTTCAAGTGTAGGTACAGGAAGATTGTTAATGTTCCAGGTTCAAGTGTAGGTACGAGTACAGGTACAAGTACAGGTACAAATACAGGTACAAATATAACTGATTACCTGACAAGGCATAAATACGCTTTACGAAGCCTAAAAGGTAGTCATTGGACATCAAGCCATGATGGTTAAACCTCTGAAGAAGCTAGCCACTCGCGCCAGCGAAACGTTAGGAAGAAATTCCAAAAATCCACGGCTTTCAAACTCGAAAAGCAATGACACTGAAAACCTCAGCCGTAAAAGTCTAAACCATTTTGTCAATTATTATCAATTTGTTTATGTGAATAATACAATTATTCCACAACAAAATAATATATCATTGGTCTAATCATAAAACCAGGTAATTACCATTTTAGAAATGTTATAACAAAACCGCTTTAGTATCAAAATATACATGTGAAACTTTCCCAGTTCAACTTTGTTTCTCAGGAGATATTGGAGGAGGTCATGTTTGATCTAGGCTTAGTGAACATGTTCAGAAGTTTGAGCATATATACATAAAACTATTCAAATTTTATGATTTCTGTTTCTTGTATACCGATTTCAATTATGCAGACATAACTTCTAGGTAATTTTAAATTCTGGAAAAACACTCGTATCTACACAAAATTGAAAGAGATGTTATTTTTTCACATTCCGGAAGAATGTGGTCGTAGATTCGTTCGTCATGGAAAGACTAGTGGAGAGCATTTCGAAAATTAGATTACCACATGATCAATTTCATTGAATTCAATTTGGAATTGTATTCCGTTTGTTGTAAAGTTATTCTCTAATATGTTATTTACATGTCTCACTATTTCGTTCAAATTCCAAGAAAACCCTTCTACCAATCATCATAAGGATATCTTCACTTATTTCTTTCAAACAAAAAAGTTCATATTACCAATATCCAGTATCTCAAACCTAAAACGCACTAAAAACAAGCATAATGNTGTAATGAATTTGTTTAATAATCAAAGTATATATTAATGGTGAAATAATAAAGCCAAAGGATTTTTTGTAAAACCAATAGAAGTAGATTACTTATGTAAAAAGATACGCCATATGAAATGAAAATATGAAAATAATTTCAAGAACACATTTTTTTTCAAATCTCGGGATGTAGCCCCTCTTATTTATTAAAATCTATGAAATTAATTTCGCTATAAATACAATGATTCAGCTTTGAAATAAAATTCAAAGTAGTTCTAAACTTGTGTGACTCGTTTTTTGGTTTGTTTTGGCCTGTTAAAAATTTTAGTTGCAGTCCTTATGCATTTTCTTTTTTTATACCTCTCTTTTTATCTCTTCAAAATTTTATTCAGTAAGGTAATGAAATGGATGACTCACTGAGATAACCTGTGTTTACGTTTACCATTTGAAAGATCTACCCTGTAATTAGTAATCTTAATCCTTCTTTTGAAAACTTAATCCAAATTTTGAAAACGATTTTGCATATATCACAATAATTTATCTTTGCATGCCAGACTTGTTAACTACCCAGTATCTAGAATACCTTCTTCCTCGGTTTTTACTACGCAAAAAAACTGGTGAATTTTTTCATATTCAAAATGGCGGAGCATGAGAGGTACTGGAAAATATATGTAAATAAAGTGAATAAATAAGTGTTTGAAATTATGATATATGTTGGAGAAAGTATTTTAAATTAATAGTGGATGCAAGTGATTAGTTTTAAGTTTATTTGATCATGAAGTTTTCTCGGTGGACAAAGAAAAAAATTTTTGGTTTCATGGTAATTTGTTAGTTATTTTACAATATTTTGATTATAGATATTCATTGATGAACACATATGTTTTTACCATTTGATTGAATATTTCTTTATTCAATAATCGAATTGTGAACATTGAATTGATATGAATGTTCATATAAGTATTCAACAATAATAC